ATTTTACCTCTAAAGGTGGCAAATTAGGGAATGTATGACTTTTGAGGTCGGTTTTTTTAGTACTCTGTACTGTTTTTTTTAGTTTTTAACGACTTTTTTGCCGTAACGCCATCTGTTAGAAATCTATTTCTTCACTCCATAAGGTACATTTACAGCCACCAGCAGCTAACTAGAGACGTGACTTTAATAATTGTAATTTTCTTTTTAAGTTTATTGAAACTTCTACATTGTCTCGGATCTGGGTGTTGTAGTAACATCGTTGTTTCCGTTTTCTATAACACAAGTACTTTAGTTACTTACTTTAGGATCAGAGCAATGTATGTGCTGTTGAATAATATTTAAAATTTATTATATCGTTGTCCTAACCACAAAAGCATGGGAATGGAATGGTACGTTGAGCGGCTCCGGTGCACCCCATGATGATCTTTAATAAAGGTGATAGGTTCCTCTTGGAATAATAAATCTTTAAATGAAATTGTCTCTTAATATGAAAATTTTCATCTAACAACTCAGAACATGTCAAATGTTGGCGAGAATAACAATGTCGCCGGCCAGCCCGTTTGGTCATCTGTTTAGTATTTTGATAACATATCTACACGTGTTTTAAAACTCAAATCTGTTATTTAAAAAAACAAAAAGTATTCGATAATTAAAAACAACTACAAACAATAGAATGCGACAAATGGTTTCGGGTATTTAGAAACAATTGCGTACCTAATAAAATGACTAATATTCAAGAAAAGTACGAGGTTCTTAATCCGACTCTATTGACAAGTCACCGCTTACCTTTCGAAACCGGAACTCTGTAATAATCACATACTGCTTGGCGGCAGAAATTGATAAGGTGGCAGTACATCTCTGGACACATTCTTTCACAAGGAGCTCTATTGCTACTATAAAAAGCGTTGTACATCATATCTGCTTATTAGAAACTTATATTATGATTCTATGTTGACATTATAGTTTATAATTAGCAATAATAGTGCATTGTGTCACAAGATTGGTAAGTAAGGTGAGACCTGTTAATGGACTGAACGTTACGTGTGGATACAATGTTTTTATCACACTTGCAAGAAATTAAAAGAAAAAAAAAATTAAATCATTGTAGTTTATTCGTATTATATTTCCGAAATTTTAAGTTGCTCAGAACAAATATTATTTAAAGAATAATATATATTTTTTATCGTCATGATTACTTACAAAAATGATAAAGGTAATAAAGCTAACTGTATTATATAATATTTTAAAAAATTCGCGGGAATTTGAGGTCGCACGAATTTGAAACAAGATGGCGGCGATGGCTGAACCAGGCGTTTGACCACGCTCCAAGCGGATGGCGAGAGCATAGAAATAAACAAAAAATACTGCCTAATTTTGCTGCATATGAGAAAGTGTGGTGGATAGAATATTTCTTACATTCCATTAATTTACTGTTTAATGAGTTTAGCAAAAATGTGTCATAATTAAAAAGATTTAAATACCAACTTTATAGAATGCTCAGCATCTTGAAATTTAAGTCGCCCAATTAAAGTTCTAACGTGGAAACTTAATTACAGATAATAACGTGTAATTGTTAAAATGCTGAAAAGGAAATTGAAAAGAATCTAAGCGAAATTCGTCGAATCCAATTCAATTAATTATTATTTCAATTAATTAATGCTGATATAACTTTTTAACTGTAAATGCTCATAAAGAAGTATCCATACACTAAACTCCACTGTACAATGTTGTCATGTCTATGTAACTAGAATAATAAAATTACTATGTTCAGTAGATTTTTTCTTTACTTTTATTAAGGGATTAAGTGACTTAACTCTTGGTGAAAAACCGGGGGTAGCTTAATGGTGGAAAGGTTGTAAACCAGTGCCAATAAAATAGGGTGCTTCGGTCCACAAAAAAATATTTCATAGTTAAAAAGAAGGAAAAAAAAGGCCCGAGAGGGCCGAGTTATACAGAATTACAGATTGGCATTAACATTGAAATTGGCTGAGAATGATTTAGATTGAGAATTGATAAAATAACAAATATAATATATAATAACATAATAAGGATTAAAATTCGACGCAATTAAAAATAACAGCAGAACTGCTCTCTACAACGATTGAGCAGGGAGTGACGATGGAACTGAACAAAATGAGAATGGTGAGTAAAAGAATTAAAGAACGATTCAAAATTTGAAAACAAGTGGCCAGCAGGTCGATTCAGAACCTTACGATAACTCAGTTGTCGACCAATTCGATTTAATATCGTACGATTTCTTTACATTTTTACTCACAATAATCGAATCGAACATTGACTTACAATTATATGGATGTCGGGTCCGCGCTAAAAAGTGTCCGCACTTGTAAGGCGCTAAAATCGTATACAGAGCGCCAAACTCCGCTTCAGTCTTCATTTGTTCGACTGACAGCGCGATACTGCGATGACATTACAATTTAAATTTCGAATAGGTTGACTTGGGACATTTTTTTCGTGGTTTTTGTATTAGACCCGTCGTCCATTTATTTGTAAGTCAATGGAATCGAACGTCAAACTGTCGTATTCGAAACCGAACCGAAATGACGTCACACCCGTACGATTACTCGAACTTCTCGACCGGCAAAGGCTACAAACGTTTAGAACACAGTTATCGAATGAAAGTTACCGAACGTCCGATTGTTGACAAAGCAAGAATGTAGTATGGAGATCTCTTATTATTTTAAATGAAGTCTGGATTTTGTTCAATTTTATTAATGTATTTTAATGCTAGACAACACATTTCTATATTTTAGGCCTTTAAAGTCTTAAAAATTTATATAAAAGGATTTTCATTTTTCTTATAATCTATTTCACCGACTATCCTATATATCCGATCGAACGATTCGGTTAAAATATCGAAGAGTTCTAAATTGGGGTCCTGGAAACAGAGAAAAGGTGATAAAAAGGTGGGATGACGATGTATGGAGGTTTACAGTTACAGTCATCAAGGATGTAGAGACGGGCTATACTCCTTTTTAAAATCGTTTCTTAAACTCAGTGAAACATGTCGTGTTAATTTCTGTGTACAGGATGTAATACAATGGCGCCAGTATAACTCCATCGAGAGACAGCTTCGAGCGTAACTGGATCCGCGGAAGTCGATTTGCGATGCATTTGCATTAGTTAACATTAACTGTATCTTGTTCTCTGATTACTTCTTATTAATCTTATTAAGCTTTGGCGAGGTTTAAAAGGAAAATATTATTTATTTATTATATACATAGATGTGGGACTGGGTGGGATGTTCTTTGTCGTAATAAAATTCGTAAATTTACTATAATATAATTATTAATTATTTTTTTCAATTATAATATAATATATAAATAATAACGCACACACTCAACATAGCCCCGCACTAGGGAAACCCTGTGTCGCGGGTGCCATAGACACACATATAGACAACCACAAATTACACCCAAACTCACGAGAGAAATAATTGTAGGCCATACAAATATTTCTCCCGGCCCGGGAATCGATACTGGGACCTCTGCGTGGCAGTCCGGCATGGTAACCGTTCGGCCACGAAGGCAGTTAAAATATAATTCGTAACTTATTAAAAAATATATAATTCGTAACTTCTTTTTTTTTTCATTTTCTTATAATTTTTGACAAAAAACATGAGGGACACGTGAAATAAAAAATCTCTCTTTCTGCCGTCTCACTCCTTCCCCACCATCATACTTCCTCTTCATTCGATTCCTCATTCACTCTTTATTCTAACGCTACATTCTTAATTACGTTTTTAAGGTTGCGTTCACCGTTAATATTATCCTATATACATACATATAATTTTAAATTGTGTACACCAACTATACCTCCTTTAAAAAACCCATCACTCGTATGTGTGTGGAGTACAATGACCTCGTTGCTGTGCATTCCGAGATTGATATCTTCAGCTGTCGCTATTATGCCCTTCGAATCGCTATTTGTGAAAAGGCTGTAGTCGTGGTTGTAGCTGGTTTTCTTATCTCCTTTTTTTTCTTTCTCTCCTTCTCTCTTTCTGACAGTACAAGTTGTCATTTTATTATAGGTACTGCTTTGAATTCAGAAACGCCAATATTTAACAGTGTTATTTATTCACTCTTAACTGATGTAAACTTAATATTAAAATTAATATCAAGTATTTGTATTATCAAGATTAACATTTGGATTTTAATTATTGTTCGCTAGATGTTGACATTTATTTAATTAATACTAACTCTGGAAATTAAACTATTTCTTCAGATATAAATCGCGCGTGTGTTTTTTTCAAATAAACCAACGTTTTCGACTACGTCACGGTTGACTGAGATGATAAACTCATCAACCAGTTATGTCTAATATTAATGCTACCACTCTATTTTTCAGTAATGTCACAAAAGTTATTAATACCTTGTTTTTAAATTTTTCCAAAGGACATTGCATTTGTGTGAAATTAAAATAAAAAGTTATAGGTAATAGTATAATTTTTAAGTTTACGTATTAAAAGTTATGATGCGTTACCACCATGATGCTATGCGCCTGATCGGGGACATATTCACTCAGTGTGATCATATTGACATATTCGCTGATAGCGTTGAATTACAATTAGAATAGTTTAGTAATACCATAGTTAAATATATTTATAATTATCAGTTTATGCGTGTTAGCTATTTAGCTATAAGTTTACAATGTAAATGAATAAATAAATAAATGCTAGCCAATTATTTTTGTGGAATAACTCCACCAGTTTGTAATAATTATTAATACAAAGATCGAATACTTAGAAAAAATTCCTTCGATCCTGCTGGATTCGACCTAACGTCTTCCAGCAAACCGTTCCATATGTCAACTAAGCCACGTATAACAAACTAGCGGACCTTACGAATTTTTCAATGTGCTTGTTTACAGACCTTCGTTATTGGTTTTTAACGACTTTTTGTTAACGCCACCTATGAGTTATAATAATTATAGTATTGTGAATTATTATTGTGTCTTAAATAAATAAATATCTATTGTTTCAGTGGATAACTCCTGAAGAATGCGCCGTGTACAGTCGCGAGCAGCGCCCGCCGCTGGTCATCCCTCGCATCACGAAGTACCGTCCGCCCAGGCGCGAAGCTCGCAATGTGGTTTACCATCCAGAGGTTTGTTAACATTATATCTATCATTTTCTACCTATAGGCATAATGTACCTGGATGCATTAAGCCTCAATCTACGACGATGTGGTTTGTATATGTAAAAGTATATATTAATTAGTAGCAGTAGAGCTTCTTGCGAAAGAGTTCGTCCAGGGAAGTACTGCCACCTTATCTATTTCTGCCACCAAGCAGTAATGTGAGTATGACTGGTTTCGGTTTTGAAGGGTAAGAGTGCTGGTGAAATTACAGGCACATGGGACTTGTAATCTTATGTCTCAGGGTGATGGGCGCATTGGCAGTGCCCCTCAGATCTTTGCGATTTAAAGCTCTGAGTGGCACTGCAACCGTTACGGGCGGGTGTGTAGTTTACTTTCAGGCACACGACTTCTATCTAAATATTTAAAAATAACCACCATCAACTTTATTACAATGGCGTTGATACCATTTGCTCAATACAGAACATAAAAGTTCATAATAATATTTATATAACACTATTAATTTGCATAAAATAGTAAATATTTTAAGTCTCATTATAGCAACACCGGTAATTTTCGTTGTGGTCAACACCGGTGGCCATTACTCTCTCTTCCAAAAATTGTAACATGTGTAACAAGCATTTATTTTCGTATTATGATGATGATATGGCGTTGTTGACTCCTGCGATCAGTGCACTTGGTAAGCTGCTCAGGATATGTGAGACATATGCGGAAGCCCATGGACTCAGGTGTAACACGAAAAAGACCGAGCTCCTAGTTTTTAAGCCGAAGGCAGGTTCTGTTGGAACTGTGCCTGTGTTTCTCTATGGTAGTTAGATAAGTCGTGTCTCTCAATTTAAGTACCTAGGTCAGATGGTGACCGATAACTTGCATGATAGTGCCGACATGGAGAGGGAGAGAGGGGTCCCGTCTGTTAGATGTAAAATGCTCGCCCGCAGGTTTGCTCGTTGCACCAAAGATGTAAAGATTTCATTATTTAAAGCATATTGCTAAAACTTTTACACAAGCAGCCTGTGGGTGAAGTATACGCAGAGAACCCTGAATACATTTAGGGTGCAATATAACAACGCTTTTAGGATGCTGATGGGGATGCCGCGACACTGTAGTGTTCACGCAGCCTTCATGCCATTATGCGCAAGAAGGCTGCCTCACTTATAATGCGTATGCGCGGCAGCGCTAATAGCATCCTAGCCGTTGTTGCCAATAGGCTGGGCTGCCCCTACCAACTACATTGGGTGCAACTACACGTGCATAGGGTAGTGGTCTAGACTTTCACTTCTTTTCACTAAAATTAAGTAATTTTGTATTCTACTAACCATAGCACGTAAGAAAAATTCACTGTATTACTAACATTATTATGGATCATGGTCCGAAATAAATAATTCTATTCTATTCTATTATAAAAAAAGACAATATTTCAAAGTTTCTTAGTCTTTTATTCAACACCATTCTCAGACAACTTTTAAGCTTAATAGCTAACAAAAACGAATGTTAACATAATTAACATAAGTCCATGTGGTAATCGCTCATATTACGGGCATTGGGTACGTCCGCTTGAGTCACTGTGCCCTCAATTCGCATTCGCTTGTTTGCAAATTTGTTTCTGTCTTTGTCTGTATATATGTTTATAAGGTCATGATTTTTGGTTCATTGACATTATAGTGGCAGTTACTCAAGTTCGAATTCCAAAAACCTTTTCGACGCTAGATTGGAAAAGCCTTTCCGAGCTATTGAGGTGAAAAGTATATTATTTTGTGTAATATGATATTGTATTGAGAAGAAGAAGAAGATTATTGCTTTATTGTCATGTTGATCTAGAAGGTATGAACACAAAATTATGCGCCTTTTCACCGCTTTCATTCAATGCAATCGGCTGTTATTCATGAATTCTATGCATTAATGCGCCGGATGTGCGCACGCGGCTCGACTGCCGGGCAAAATGATTTCATTAACAGAGAACTTAGTGTTGTTGCAAAAGACTCCACGTCCTTCATCATTATCCAGACTCAAATTAATTACGCAAAGTCTAGCACTTGCATTCCATTTAGAATTCGAGTTTTTGAAATGGACGACTTGTATCTAAATAATTTATAATTATAACTTTTTTGTAAAAAGAAAACCGAGTCCAAAAGTTTGTGAAATTACATAAACACAAAAAAATGAAGGGACATATGGGACGTCCATGGTCTCTGCCTACCCCAGTGGGAGATAGGACGCATTGATATTTATTTATATAAGAAATACAATTTAATTGAAAACCTCCTTCTCTTAAATTCGGTTATTTAGATGCTACTCATTGACTTACAATTATATGGACGTCGGGTCCGCGCTAAAAAGTGTCCGCAATTGTAAGGCGCTAAAATCGTATACAGAGCGCCAAACTCCGCTTTAGTCTTCATTTGTTCTACTGACAGCGCGATACTGCGATGACATTACAATTTAAATTTCGAATAGGTTGACTTGGGACATTTTTTTCGTGGTTTTTGTATTAGACCCGTCGTCCATTTATTTGTAAGTCAATGATGCTACTACATTAAATTTGTTATGCTAAACTGAATGCCAAGCCTTGCATGTATAGGGAAAACAAACGAGGAAGGAAAATGGCTACCTAATTAACGTGAAACGAAACGTTGCGAATAGATATTGCTCAACATATCCTGTCGTCTCACATCGGAAGACTTAATTTTTAATAAACAAGGATGTTGTAAGTTACGACGACCCCGATGACCTGACGGTTCACACTGTGAGCGCTGGATGTGACGGTCTTGATTCCCAGTAGGCTCAATTTGGGAAAAGAACTTTAAATTGCTCTGGTCTGGATATTTTGGGTAGTGCCCCAGAAGGAATTCCGTTGGTCTGGTACTCATAGTATACTCCTCCTACCGCAAAATGGCAGCTATTTGGTCTCGCAAATTAGAAAAGCATTTAGTTTAAATACAAGTTTTTATAAATAAAAATTATTAATCTGCATTGCTAAATAAATACCCTCCGTACTACCAACAAAAAAATTTCAAATAAAATGCAGTAATACACCGCAAATCCTGCACTTAAAAAGCACTAATGAAATTTTTGGTGTACTTGGATAAATATGATAATATTTCGTTTGAGTGGTTCTAACGTTTACCATGAAATTACTCCTTAAAGTATAGTTTATAAACATTTATATTCAGGGTAAACTTAAAAAACGCTACTTACGGTATTTTTTCAATAAATAAACACCGACATCACCAGCCCAAACAATACACACACGATTGTCGTGACGTATTTTTAAAGTTGTTTATTTTTTTAAATGACAGACCCAGGCATTAAAAACTTTATGGTTTGCTAGAGTAGTTACCGAAATAGCAATTAATATTAGTTCTTTTACCTGTTATAACTTCGATATCCGATAAATCGGTATAAAATCATTACCGGCACCTCTAGGTGTGGTATGCGTCTACGGCTGCATGTATCGCGTGAGCGGTTATGGTATTCCCTAGTTCAGGGCCCCAAGTCTGTCAATTTTCGTTCATATTTTTATTATTTTTGTGGACTCCCCGGAACTCGAGTCCAAGATTTTTCTTAGAGCCCCTACAAAGTCCTTTAGGTTTAATTCACTTTTGTACTTACCTCTGGCCTCTTCGAATTTTCAGTGGAATGCATATCTCTTGCGTGCGAGTAATAAGCTTTAATGTGTTGTCCAAGCAGGTTGATATTAATTTTTTTAACACTAGTGTTGTACTGGCGAAGCGTCTTAGTACTGAGTTTTTTGCCGAGTAGGTGTTGCGGATATGACATTGCCTATATAGTATCTTCTTCTTCTTAGAGTGCCTCTTCAATGCTGAAGGTTGATCGTCAGCTTCCTGTATCCGTCTCTCTTACCAGCCAACCGAAACAGCTGTTCGACGGAGGCAATGCCTGTCCATTCCCGGATGTTCCACAGCCACGATTTCTTTCTTCGCCCAGCGCGTCTCTTTCCCTGCACTTTTACCATCATTATTAGCTGTAGCAGCGTGTATCTATTGTTCCTGATCAGGTGACCAATGTATTCTATTTTGATAGACGGTACTTATGAACACGCTGAAGCACGATTTCGTTCGTGACCCTCTGTGTCCAACCAATGCGCAACATGCGACTGTAGTACCACAGCACACACATAATGCGTGTCTATCGGTAAGATCTATAATTATTTCAGTTTTTACTCTGTAAGATAGCCTTATGATGGTCTTACAATAAGTTAAAATAAAATTAAATTAAAATTAAATATCAGTTGTGTCGGGAGTGTCAATGGCTGGGTTTCGTACGTTTGGTATTCTGCGAAAAGTCAATAGCGAGTCGACGGCATATTGTATTAATATTATATATATAATATTAATACACATATATATACATGATATATATTATATTACGGACATGTATGAACACCAAACATGTACATGTACATGCTATTGACACACTATCTTCTGACTTGGTCCTAGGCAATTGGTGTGGTTGTCATGTGAAAATATTTTTAATAAATAATGGAGGGAGAGCACTGTTAGCATTTTAAGTATGCATAATTGTACAAAATGTGTCGGTCCAGAAAGACTCCAAGACTCCTCCACATAGCAATTGCAGGGCCATTCAGAACAGCCACTGCGCCCGTAACTCTGAGACTTAGATTGATAAGTGCCGTGTGCCTGTAATTTCACCAGCACCCTTATCCTTCAAAACTGGAACGCAGAAATGCTTATATTACTACTTGGCGACAGAAATAGGTAAGCGGTAGTTTCTTGGACAATCTTTTTCAGCAAATGTTTCACTGCTATAAAAATTCTGTTATTTTGTTTCATGGGTTTTCTTCTAATAAGTCAATGAAGTTTGAAATTAGAATATTGTGGATTGTGACGTGTGTCATATGAAATAAATGGACGACGGGTCTAATACACAAACCAAGAAAAAAATGTCCCAAGTCAACCTATTTAAACGTAGTGACATGTAAAGGAATATGGAAAACCTAAAACGTTGAATTTAAATTGTTATGTCATCGCAGTACTGTCTAATTTTGCTTGCTTCGCTGTCAGTCGAACAAACGAAGACTAAAGAGTGAATGACGCTCTGTATACGATTTTAACGCCCTATAAGTTCGGACACTTTTTAGCGTGGACCCGACGTCCATATAATTGTAAGTCAATGAGAATTATTAATGAAATACGTTAAGAAGCCAAGTATCTGTCAAACGTGAAGCGTAGCACAAACATAAATAAAACAAATCAACGGTTTGTCCCATCACTTGCTGCACTTTCAACCTTACGTTGGAGTTAATAAGAATTTCAATAAAGGACTTGGTGGCGGTACGAATACGCAATGTGGGTAATAAATGCGATAAGGGTTTCCTAACCAATCGACGTACAGTATGATAAGGAAATGAGTTTGCGCGTTTAATAGTTCGATAATCGGATATCGATATCGATAAAAATGTGTATTACGTCTCGGTAGCACAATGGTTTGCACTGTGGGCGCTGGATGAACCCGGTTTGATTCCCGTTATGACCATTTTGGGAAATGAACTTTTGTAAACTTATTCTATATGAGTGTTCTGGGCTGTGAGTGTCTTCCATTGCTCTGGTACTCATTGTTCTGAATAATGTCAAGTGATGGGACGAACAAGGCGTGCGCCTGAGGGTACGCTATACGCCTGTCCATAACAGTTGCAGTGATACTCAGAACTTTACATCACAAACATTTGAGGCACTGCCAAACTTCTGAGAACCTTTGAGAGGAAAGTTGTACTAATTGGTTTGTGGTACTACATTCCATGAACTTATGAAGAATTTGTAAGGGAAGTTGCTCTTCTTTATCGTATTAGGACTGTGTTAATGTGAGAAAATTGTTTTCTTTTTGACGTTTTCTTACGTTTCCTTATAATACAAATTTATAGAATGAACCTATTTGTACCAGGCAGATCCCATTGCTTTGTTTATCAGCGCCAGTTTTGACTATTAAAAAGCAAATAACTGGTGATTTAACATCTAGGTTTTAGGTTACTTCCATTTGTTCGTAAGTTTATTTGAAAAAGATGTTATGTATTTTGGATTAATAGCGCAAATATTGGATAATATATTGTAATAGCTTTATCATTATATACCACCAAGTTTTTTTATCATTAGAAATTGACAAAAACATGGATATTAAAACCACACCTGAATTCATTGTACTATAAGTACCCAGATAACCCATACCAGAACCTGTTTACATGTTAATTCCCCAAATTGGTCCCACCGGGATCGAACCCGGGACCTCCTCCAGCGTCTATGTCGTAAGGCGCCAATGTTGAGTAATATATTATAATATCTACCACCAAGTTTTTTATGTCATTAGAAATTGACAAATATATCGATATTAAAATCGACAACGAAACAACACTGAACGTATCACATCGAACGGTTAGTCAGAGTGTAAAACACTACACTACAAGTTATGCCACGATTTTTCCTTTTAAATACTTAGTATAATTAATATAACAGCCACCATCATGTCGTAATGACATATATATGTGTTTTGTGGTGCAATGGATAATGGTCATGATTATTGTGAATATTTTAGTGTAATTAATATAATATAGTGACAATGTTTCCGAAGTTAATAAGAGGGAGGACATGGATTCGAGGGGTAAAGTATTAATCTACTGACGGTTCTTTTTATAATTACATCGTTTGAATCTTTTAGTTAATTGCCAAACACAAGAAAAAGAGCAGTAAGTTTTCTTTGAGATTTTGATTTTGTTAAGTTTATTTTCAACTCTAATAGTAATACAGTTACAAAGTTTGAGTTATAAAATCAGTAGAATAATTTATAAGCGTAAATGTAACGCACTAAAGGCCCTGTTAATTCTTCTAATATTAACGACTGTACAAACCCATTATAGAAGACGAAGAAAACGATAGGTACGTCATAATCTACAATTATAAAAACATTTTCAATATTTATCCAATATCCAATGGTTGTAAGGTCCATAATGCTACCTGTTTTTCTGTGTATTTAATATGACGTAATTAATGTTGAAATGTGTTAGAATGACTGTGTTTCTTTTTGTAAACGCCGACAAGTTAGATTTGAACCCGCGCCATGTTGCGGATTTTTTAAGAACTTAGTTCTTGCATAGTTGGAATGTGGCGCCACCGCCTTGTGTTCAAATGTAAATTGTCAACTGATGTATTTATAAATTTTAATAAATATGAATATTACGAAGTATTAAAACTAAAAGATAATTAGTTCAATTTATAGGAACTTAAAAGGCATCATTAAAGGAAATCCACAACAAATATTGGCATTGGAATGCATCTGACAGATGTCATAGTAACGATATTTGTATAAAGGTTTAGATACGTTACAATAAGGTTCAATTTGCTATGAACAATAGAGGCAGTTAAGAAACGGCGTAGTGGGGATAGGAAATACTTTAAAAGAATACCATATACGGATATGATGCTACGAACAGATTGTTTATTTATTAAAGTACAAAGGACCCAACGATGAGAATATCCCGGGTTTGATTCCAGTTCGAAATATTTTTTTTCCTACTAATACGGTTCGTTTTGCTTGGGTCGAGCGCCAGAGACGTTTTAGAAGCAGTAGAAGCTTCTTGTTCGTCCAGGGAAGTACTGCCACCTTACCTATTTCTGCCGTCAAGCAGTAATGTCAGCATTACCGTGTTCCGGTTTTGAAAGGTAAGGGTGCTGGTGAAATTACAGGCACAAGTCCCATTATCAACTTATGTCTCAGTGTGATGTTGCCTTACTAAAACTACCATGGAAATTACTTTGCATATCTTAGTATGTATATCATTTAAACAGCACTAATTTGGTCTTCAAAAAAGCTCTGAGTGGTACTGCGACTGTTATGGACAGGCGTGTAGCTTACCATCACTTGTTGTTAGAAAAAAAAACTATGATCTACACCAGAGGTTCCCAAGCTTTTTATATTTGGCTGTTTTCGTGGACCCACTGCCCTTTTTATATGGATTTTTTTTACAATTTCACCAACTTCAAATGTATTTTCGAATCTGGCAATGTGCTACTTACTTTGATAAATTGAAACTTTCTGACAAAACACACGTTTAGTTTGATTCATATTTTAAGCTACATACAATATGTAATTAATTTATTTATTGCAAATTACATGTGAAATAGTTAAACTTACAACCTAAAGATCAGCACTAAGCTTCGTCAATTTGGTTTATTCATTTATCTAACCGAAAATCTCGTTTATTGTGAAATTGTACTATGAAGTATTTCATATTATGTCTCTTATGAGAATACATAGACACTATCTGTATAATAATCCAAATTACACATAATGTGGATTATTCCGTTAGAGAGTCAAAATTTTGGTCATGATCTGCTGGGTTCCACTTTAGTCTATTAACGTCTAATGCACTCCAACTCCTTTTCCATAGCAGCTGCTGTGTTTAAAGCTTTAGAGTGCAAAGGATTGCCACTGCGTCGGTCACTCATAAGTGGACAAGTCCCATGTGCCTGTAATTTGACCAGCACCCTTACCCTTCAAAACCAGAATGCTCACATTACTGCCTTGCGACAGAAATAGATAAGGTGACAGTATTTTCCTTGACGAACTTTTTCACAAGCTGCTCTACTGCTTGTGCTGCTGCTTTTTTCGCTGACATGGACCCCTTGCTGGTTTAGACCTGCAGGGGTCCATATAGTGTATTTTGGGAATCACCAGCACCCTTACCCTTCATAACCGGAACGCAGTAGTGTTCACATTACTGCTTGACGGCAGAAATAGGTAAGCCTTTTTCATAAGCAGCTCTACTTCCTCTGCTGCTGCTTTTTTTGCTGACATGGATCCCCTGCTGGTTTGGACCTCTGGGGGTTCATATAGACAATTTTGGGAATCACCGACCTAAACCTTAGAGGAGACTTGTAACACCTATAACGGTATGATGGTAATGACGATGATATTTCATGGGAACATTTCAATTATGTTAAAAATTTAACTACTGAGTCAGGCAGTCGAGTTTAAACACATGTTAAAACCCATGAAATATAAAATATTATATACGATGTGTCTAAAATAATTATCATCAACTTTAGTATTCATTGAAATAACGAACGCAAAAAGAGGAAGTACAAATTGATATAAAACTATTCGCTTCCCCGACTTTCGGAACCTTGTATTGAGTTATGCAATCGGTTGCTAAAGGTTATACAATTACATTGGAAGTTTTTCAGTCTTTAAATTCAGAGCATTAAGATATCATGTCTTTTCGTAAATATCTTTTAAAATAAAGTCCTAGCCGTTTTTGAAGGACTTGCACATCGAAGAAGGCTCGCAACGTGAGAAGTCTATGACCTAAACCCTAACCTGAGAGGAGACGAGTGCCCAGCAGGCGTATAAATGGGTTGATGATGATGAAAATTTCAAAGCTAAATGCCTTACAATACTGAAGAAAGTGAGAAATAGAATCATGTCAAGATTCAACTGCTGTAATTATAATAGAATCATAGCTAATTACGACTGGCATAATCAAGGAGAACATTTTATTTACAGGAAAGCCCAAGCAGCGAAGCGCTCAGGGCGCGCCAGTACGAGCGGCTGCAAGACTGGAGTCCTTCAGAGGAAATGGATAGGCCTTTTAGCAAGGCCAATTCTGACAGCCCACCTTTCGGCAGGCTTAACAAAAGATTCGGTAAGGCAATTTGTTTTTGGAACCCAGCATAACTAAACGTAGGTTCTTAACTAAGCTAGTAAAATTATTTTGCAAGACAATAACTCGTGGCTTTATAACTTATTAAGTTATAACTCTTAGGGTTGTATTCTAGAACTCTACTCAATGCTCAAGTCAGGATTTGAGTATGGTTTAAAGCATTTGAAATCATGCTCAAGTCCCTGCCATTAGGGTCGCATTTCCAGTGCTTGTGTTTCCAGTGCAATCCTGACTTGAGCATTGATTAGAGTTCTAGAATACGACCCTTAATCTTCAATTCAAAGTATAAAGAAAAAAGTCTTCAGTGATACAGTTCTTGAGTTAACTTTGACATATAACTCTTTATTGCAGGCGGCTCAAACGAAAATCTGCTGAACATCAGACGGCCAAATCAGCTGATGCTGCCAGCATCTTCATCCGGAGACAGCCTGGATGTGGAAGTTAGGGACAAAGAACCTGCTTATGGACGCACTCGAAAGTCGCGATCAATGGTCGCCCCGAAGCCAAGGATGAGGTCCCCAGTGCCTGCTCCGAGAATGTTACTGCCTCAAATGCCTGAGGTACTTTTGCATTTTTATGATAATGTGTATAGCTTTGGGCGGACTTACTTCTTTTGGGTCTCCAGTATGTGCGGCAACATCACGGAGTCCACACTCGTTCTCCATCCGATATCCATCCGAAACAATTACTGTCAAATAAGTAATACTCGACCAAATCAAAATGACGCATGATGCGAATGAAGCTTCACACTTGACATTGTCTTTTGATTTTGGTCGCCTTACCAGGGGCAAAGAAAAAAGCAAGAGGGGAAATCCGCATCAGTTTGTTACGAAGATATCAAGCAATATCCGACCACTCTGAGCTAAAGGGCATAATCTTGCTAGCTGTGATACTGTGATTTACTTGAATCTTTCACCAAGTGATGCTTATAAATGGACAATGTTAATCACTCAGAAAGAATATACGCACATCCAAAAATTTTAGCAACTCATGTACATATTTATTAATACAAAAATCGAACACTCAGAAAAAATTCCTTCGATCCGGCCGGATTCGAACCGACGTCTTCTAGCTTATCGCTCTCGCCAGGACTGGTAGCTGTAAAGGTACTAACTGGGTGCTAAATCTTTTAAAGATTTCTCATAGATGGCGCTGCGACTAAAAAGTCGTTGAAAAACCAAAATACAAAGACACGACGCAAGCACATAGAAATATTTGTGAGGCCCGCTGGTTAGTTCCGTGGCTTAGTTGGTATAGCGTCTGACACGGTAAGCTAGAAGACGTCGGTTCGAATCCGGTCGGATCGAAGGAATTTTTTCTGAGTGTTCGATCTTTGTATTAATAATTATAACAAACTAGTGGAGTAATTTTCACACAAAATAATTGAATATTAAGTCAAGAAAAATTTAAAACTCATGACATGTATTTAACATTGCAGATTATAGTTCTTCTCGAAGGATCAGTGAAGCGAACCAAGTTCGCAGAAAGGGGCAAGAAAAGCAGAAAACACTGGGTCGACTGCTACATGATCCTCACGCCTACAGCGTTGGTCTTCTACAAGGATCACAAGACTTATTTAGCTACGGTAAGTTTTTGCAATAAAGCAATTCCAAACTTTACGTGTGTAAGGCTTAATTCAAAAATGTATGTTGTGAAATCTAATTTTGATAATTGGTGTTCATACGTCACATTTTTCTGATTACAGAAAATGCCTCGCCCTCCTGGCACTCCCCCCAGCCCGACAGCTCCCAGAGCCGAACTTGTTCTTCCGCTGAGAAACGCCCATGTTGCTCAGTGTATCCAGAACCACACTAAAAGGTAGTTCTTGCATTTATTTTTCAAAATTTACTCCACGCGCCATCACGATCTGAAAGTTTCTGTGTGAGACGTCCACTAAGTGAACCAACGACTTAGTAAAGGCCATAAAGAGCCGTTGAATTGAGATATCTCCAGTCAGTTAGTTACATTTTATTTAAGATTCATCAAATATAGACATCAACCGACTGGTGTAAAAAATAATGTTATGTCTTATAATGATATAAAAATAAATGTTTCCAGGTTCACCAGGTCTCTGGTGCTAACGGTAGACATTGACCAGTACTTGCTGCAAGATGAGACAGAAGAAGGAGCGAAGCGGTGGTTCAAGGCGATACAGGACGTCCACTATAAACTGGTAAGTTGATTGTGTTACATAGAACGATAATTTTCGTCTTTATCTATCTTGTGAGTTTCTTCTTATTTTATAAGCCAGTTTACATATCCGTCCAATTTCTAGGCTTTGTTGCCGTAGCTTTATATATTTCCTACTTGTTTTGTGATGTTAGATTATTTCTTTTTTACTACGGTATTCATTTCATTAAACTACATAAGTCTCAACATATCTCGAAGTTTTGTTTTAGAGATCTGTTTACTTATTTCAGGGCCCACCACGACTAGACGAGCATTCCTCCCATTATCCAAGCAGCACCACAGATATTGATAGCATCGGTCGCACTCCGCCAGCGTCCAGACATTCAAATAGGAGCAATCAGAAAGGTTAGTATCATGTATTAAGCATTTTATACTTTGTATAGGTCTGCCGATTCCAGATCAAGAAGAATTTTAAAAGAAAACGAGAGAGATTCATTCAAACAATACGCATTAGTGCATATAAGAATGCAGAAACAGTCGTACACAAGAAATTGGGGTAAAACAGCCTAAATTGCCTAAACGTATTTCGTATATTTACAAAAACAAAATTGATAACGCAACAATGCAAAACAAAATTAGAATTAAAGCTGGTGTTCGTAATAGTTCTTTTAATAGATTTACAAGAAACGCAGTTGCTTACGCCATTACATAGTAATATAATAATCAGCAAAAACACAACTGACCACGAAGTGATCAATTGTAAAAAGCCGCCCTACTTCTATGAATCTAGGACTATGGATCATATGAATAATTACTCCTAACATCTCACAAACAAACTAACTAATGAAATAACACAGGTACTAGCTATGTTATTTCATTAGTTAGTTTGTTTTTCAATGACAAATCAGTTTCCCGGTAAAATATGTACTGGAACCTAGTTAAATTATATTTTCCTTGTTCATTTACTCTGGTTCACTTTATAAGTAAACTTTATTGCGTACGTTCTTGTATAATTTGTTTACTGTTTACTAAATTGTCTGTAGTACCTTTATAATAAGTTGCATCTTTATTTAATTCAATATTGTCAATGTTTTTGAAATTATTAAGTGTTTTAACAATTTCATCTGTTACATTTGTGGTAGTTATATTTGTGTGAGTGTATATAATGATGGGGTGTAGTTGTTTACCGGATGGCTTTTTGCCCTTATTAAATAAAGACTCACGTAGGTATTTTCTGTATATTTACTTTGAAGATAATACTCTTTGCATGTTATCAAATAGTTTATTTTATTTATTTAAAACTTATTAGCAGAATTCGGAGTGGGTAGAGTAAATTTATCTACCTTCAAGGAATATATACACAGGGAAGATAATACCTCCCCCTGAATTCTGGAATTATTGTATTGGATTTTGTTGTATATTTTTATGTGTAGCTAGCAATTACTTTACTACAGTAGTGTATTCAGAAGAATAGTTTTGTAAATATAAGTAAAAGTTTTCATCGTTCTGGAATTCCAGAGGGAGGTATTACACCTGTATATTACTTGAGGTTTAGGTAAGCATACTACCTTTTACGATCTCTGCTTATTAGTAAAGTAGGACCTAATAATCTTTCGTATCTGCTCCGAAATTTTATTGAAAATTTATTGACATTTTGTCATGTCGATCGCTATAGACTTAGCTGTATGGTTTCGAACCTTTTTCTTCTCTTTAAAGGAAAGAATCTAAAGAACAACAACCAATTTTGTTGTCATGATGATTCTAATGCCTTCGTTTTAGTTGCTTCCGTTTTCATGATTTAATGATTCTATCATTTGTTGCTATCTCATCATTTTATAATTTAATACGTCAATTAATCGTATTGAAACGTAGATTATAGTATGTCTTCCAACGCAAAGCAAATTATCGGTCCGTTCGTTTATCTACTGATAAGCAATTATTATTTTTTATATTTAGTACAGAATGCTATTTCTTCGCGAAACTACGTTGGTCTATTACAGTCAAAATATATGTTACAAAATGATTAGTTCAAAACACATACTCTTAAAATTCATTTTAGTGCATTAAAAGTGTAGTTGTTATTAAAATTTTAAAGAAAATGGAATATCACATGATGATGAATTCGATATGGCCTACGAGTGTCGATGATATATTGATTCGGACAAATAAAGAAACTAACACTAAACATAAATCGAAAGAGGATTTTAGTGTAACAAGAAAAAACAGTGTGGGCAGCGATAGCAGCAGCAACAAAAGTGAAAAATTGTCAATGAAGGACAGATTTCAAATTAAGATAAAAAAGTTTTGGCACAATCGTACGTTTATTAGTTTACCTTACGCACAGGCGCACAGTTATTACTTATAAGATTATTTTCGACATTTCCGCAGTCGATTTTAATTCAGTGGCGAATATCTTTGTAGCAATACATCAAGGAAAATGTCGTGATTAAACCTTATTGTCGAAGTTTTACAACTTTCGGAAATCATGTGAAGTCCATATTGTTCTAAGCCCTCTCCTTATATGTCTCCAGTGCGAAGGCACTCAGGAAAGCGTTGTTGACGATAATGCAGTTCAACATTCACTCTATTGTTGATGAATTAATTCGTTAGTGGCATAGAGATAGAGAAAATCTCATTGGTTCAATAAATTAGATTGATGGAATAAATAATTGAAAAACACTCATTAGGTTCCTATGTTATAACTAGCTAATCGTGTGATTTTGCTAATTTAAGAATGTTATCTTTACGAAGGTAACCATCCATCTTTTTAACCTTTTTTATAATAGGAACTGATATGTTTTTGGTTATACTTTCACCATATTCACGAAGCTATCTGTAATGGTGGAATGACCAAGTCTTGATTCTGTTTTTTCATAAATAAGTAACAATACGTGTGTTTTTCGTGTTAAAAGTTTTCGATTAACTAATATCACTAATTGTAATTTTTCATTATTGAAACCACTCTGAATCTGTCGCACTTGAAACCGATCAGATCAAAGAATAAACAAGTATATTACATGGTAAGAAAGCAGTAAGTAATGGCAATTGTTTAATAAATGATAAAATAAATTCTTAAAGTAATATTCTTATATTTGCTCAATGGAACTTATGATGAAGATAAAACTTAAATACTTGATGATCCTATACCTGGAGTTTTAAACTAGTAACTTTATAAACAAACTGAAAACTGAAACAACAACTGCATTGCTTAATCGTGACTTAAAAATGATAAAGATACGTCTATAGAGATAATATATCATGTTTTATCAGTGACTAACCTACATCGATTCCATCAGTGTTTAGCAAATTTTCCAGTACTTATGTTGTTCAATAGAAAGTTTTATTCACACGTACTTTTAGGAACTTACTTTATCATTATTACATTTTAGTAAAAACCATCAGTTATCATCATTGATAAATATATCATCTATAGGATACTAAAACAGTGGCATATTTTACGAGCAACTTATAAGAAATAAATAGTAAGTAGCTAAAATTAATATCTCACTTTCAACTGATACTTATTTGTCTACTCTAACATGTCCGTCTGAATTTTCGTCTCATTCTGCGATTAGATTATCGTTTTATACTGTTTTGGTGTTTATTTTATCTGCTTCCTTTTCTAAAGAATATGAACGTAGTTCGTTCATCACCTTGTGACACTTATCTCCTTCATGAGATTTGTTACATGTTCCGTCACTTTAGCGTTTGACAGTTGTCCCAATTAACACTATCCCAAAGATTCAAGATATGTGCTGCTTTTTCTCTAATTTCATTTCCTGAAAGAGCTCGAGGAGCATCATTGCCATTTTGGCTTAATTCTTGTACTCTAAATGGAAATTTAGGCCAGTATCAAAATTTATAGATGCACCTTTAAGCCGATCCCATTTCTTATCTACAGATAAAACTAGAGTACCCGGAGTAAAGATAATTGTAAACTCTTTAAGCAGATTATTACGAATATTTGATACTAACTTATTACTCTGGTTCAGCGGCATGAAGTCGACCTTGACTTTATACCAAAAGACTCCATTTGGATCTGTTTTCCGCTTTATGCCATTCGACTACTATATTTCTTGACGTATCTCTTTCTAACTTTCTAACTTTCTAACATTGTCTCAAATCCACAAGAATAAACACCATGAACTGAGCCTATTTCCCAATGCTAATGGGTTGACCGAATCTCGTGTAAAATTTTCTTATCTTTATTTCTTCACGAGACACTATGTTTTTAATGAACATGTGCTTATTTGTTGGTTATGTATCAAAAATTTGAGGTCACGACTTGCCTTCTAATGGACAAACGAAGCCCTCTCTTCATCAAACATTTGCTCCAGTCAGAGGAAATTTCTTAGTTCCTTGGTTCAATTGGTTTTGACAAGTTAATAAAAATGAAAGTAAATTTATTTGCTACTCCGCGAACCCAGGGAAGGTTAAATCGTGCAAAATAGCTGCGCTTGTGTTGAATAACCTTCACTGGGTTCGCGGAGTAGCAAATTAATTTATTTCCATTTTTATTAACATCCTTCCTTCGAGGACTTCCGCAAAGTAACGCCTGAATCCATTAGTTACTTTTGACAAGTTGTAAATTATTGGTTATAATAATGAGTTAATCGATAGATGAAGGCTTGCAGCATCTAAATTAGCACATGTCACTTTTGCATTTGCTTTAGAAAGAGTCGAGATGCTATTTTCTCCATGTGATTCCAATCAATTTTAATAATATCTAATAATATCTAATAATTTGAAAACTGCATGTTACTAATTTACTTTTCTGTGTTACTACAAACTTTCGAAATAAGTTATGGCTGTTGGGGTAACCGTTATTTCACTTATTGCTATAACTATGGGCAATCTGTATTTTCTCTAATGCTAGCTTTATCTTCGCTTTTGTCTTCTATATTCTACAGGAAAACCAGAATTTCATGCTAAATTTTCAATAGTACTCATGTCAATATTTATCACCCTTTTTGATAAAGCAGCTGCTGTCCATGAGAGTCTGGTGAGCCTGTATCTTTCTAACTATTTCATTTTCTACTAGCTATGTGTCTGTTTTTCAGCCGGAGGCAGTAGTAATGAAGATCTCAGCGATTCCACAGAGGTTTCTATTCCAAAATCTCACGTGAAAAGAAGATTAAGAAATTTCTTCGCGAAACGACCAACAATGGATTCTCTTGTCAAGAAAGGCATCTACCAAGGTTCGATTTGCATTAATTTGAAGTGGACTTTGCACTTTTTCGTAGTTTTTGGAGAGTGATATATACATGGATACTAAAATATTTAATTTTGCTGTAGAATTTGCTTGGTTTTGATGTGGTATCAAATTTTGCAAACCGGGGTATTACATTAAAAAGTTTCGTCTCGATGAAACGTTTTAGAAAACAAATTTTTCGTGATTTGATGAAGCTTATTTGTTTTTCTGGTACTTTGGCGCACAAGTTTCGAGGACTATCTAATATTTGGCACATTTTAATTATAACTTTAAAACGCGATTTTTAATTGATGATAAAATATTCCTTTCCACTCTATTACAACTGATGAAAGTAGTAATGTAATTTATAGCATAATTTCTTTTATAACTTGCACAAATCACGAAAATTATAAGGTTTTGTAGTATAGTGATAATATTGCTTTTCAATTGTTAGATGATTTCGATTAACACGTAAGCTATGAAGATGGTGGCAATGGTAAACTGGAAGCATTGACTTACAATTATATGGACGTCGGGTCCGCGCTAAAAAGTGTCCGCACTTATAGGGCGTTAAAATCGTATACAGAGCGTCATTCACGCTTCAGTCTTCGTTTGTTCGACTGACAGCGAAGCAAGCAAAATTAGACAGTACTGCGATGACATTACAATTTAAATTCAACGTTTTAGCTTTTTCATATTCCTTTACATGTCACTATGTTTAAGTAGGTTGACTTGGGACATTTTTTTCGTGGTTTTTGTATTAGACCCGTCGTCCGTTTATTTGTAAGTCAATGACTGGAAGGTAAGTTTTGTACAGGATTCTTGTTGGAACATAGTATTGTATATATTACCGCAGTTTAGAAGAATATGTTATTTACTTTTATTGAAGTTTTATTTTATTACCTTACCTATATATCCTGAATCCCTTATTTGCGGTTTATTGTTGTACAGACTTTGTTGTGGATTTTGTTTAGATTAGCATGAGAGTGGTGTTTTTTTGTTGTGGAACTAACATAAGTAGAAAAGTGAAGAGAAAGGTAGATTTGAAACTTAATATAGGTGGAGGACTGTAGATACAATACGTAAAGTAAAACTAATTATAGATGATAGATTTGGTAAAGTTTCACATGAAGCCAATGGAAATTCGTTCATGGTCTCCTTTTTCAATTCTATGCCACTAACAATACGATAGTACGTAGTCTTGTAACCATTAACGTATTTATAGGGGTGTTACCGATGTAAATTTAGTTCAAGGCTCAAAACTAACGTTACTTAAAATGAAATAATACTATTTGTTTAATATATAATATTCAGTGACGGACAAGTCGTGCACCTGATGGAAAGCTGCACGCCTGTCCATGACATTTCCTGTGCCACTCGGATCTTCAAATCGCAATGACTGCCACTGCGGCTGTCACCCTGAGACATAAGTTGACAAGTCCCATGTGCCTGTAATTTCACCAGCACCCTTACCCTTCTAAACCGGAACACAGTAATGCTAATATTACTGCTTGGCGGCAGAAATAGGTAAGGTGGCAGTGCTTCCTTGGAGGAACTCTTCCACAAGGAACTCTACTGCTACTAGAATATAAAGATGGCTGACATCAAAGACGTTTTTGAATAAATCTTAGAAAACTAAAAAAAAAATTAAATTAAGTAATTTTGTTTTCTTGCAGATTAGGGCGCTTTCAAATTAGACACTTGTTTTATAGAAGCGCTGTCAATGCTTCAGTTATAATTTTAGTTTACCTTTGTAACTGTAACGATAACATACCATACGCGCGGCGGGCGCAGGTCGGGTTACGCGCCCGCTCGTGGTGTATTGTCGCTCATATAAATACACGGGATTACACCCGCCGTGCTCCCGTACCCGACACGCGCCCGACTCTCACCCGTTGTCTGTGTTTCACGCTTAAAAGTGGCGCGCGTGTCATGTCAGTATATGAAAATTAGTAGTGGTGTACGTTCGATTAAATATATTGGTAAATGCATGATTCCGTACAAATCAAACCCAAACATTGTCCTACAGTGTGATATAATTCACTCTGATATAGATAATAAAATTAGTTACAGCGTCGTAATACATCTGTGCAAATACCTACATAAGTACCTTTTATTTGAATAATGTAAAGGGTAATAAAGTTTAATGACATCCAAAAATGGGACGATATTTAAAAAAAGGGTATTGCGAAATGAATCTTACAGCTATGAAACAAAGTGCAAACTGCTGTGAGTTTACATCATTTTGACATTAAGTGTGAGGCCAGACGAGGGTAATTTTGTGAGTTGTGACTTGCGTTTTTTTTTGCGCTCGACCGAAATTCGGTTGGAGCGCCAGACGAACGTATTTTATTCAGTTGCTTTTAAGCGTTTATACGGGGTGTTTGTGTCGCGATAGTGTAATGGATCCATTAAAAATAGTATTTTAGCAAATAGCATTTATGAAGCATTAAGGACTACCCACACACATCAGGGCCGTGTCCAGGACGTGGACGAGGCGTGCTAGTTTGTATGAACTGCGGGCCCGTCCCGGCGTCGGCCCGGACACGGACATGTGTGAACGAGTTCATACAAAATGTACGCAACGATATTTTTTTGAGCCCATGACGGAGCACGGCCCGTCCACGTTCCGGGTACGGCCCGGATATGTGTGGATAGAGCTTAAAGTGTGAGCTGTTTCATGTATTATATACAAGTTTATATGAACATCCTGATAACAATTCTCAGCGACTTCGTGATATGCCTTCTGTTTCAAAAACTTATCACTATATGATTTTTGTGATAAATTCCATAGACATGGACGTTGTTCAACCTCGGTGATAAATTTTTCCGTACCGAACATTTTGGCAAGAAACGTCTAAATTCACGCGCATCCTATACCAATGTGACCACTTCGCTCACCCCTACCTCCCTCCGCGCCAGCCCGACGCACGATGCGACCGAAAGTCAGTCGTCATTACGCCCGTGAGTCGACAGATAACTCATTTTGCGTCGTCGTGTGAAACAAACTATCCTTTATATATGAAACCGAATGCAGCGCAAACTGCGTAACTCAAAAAACGCAACTCACAACTCACAAAATTACGCTCGTCTGGCCTCACACTTAATGTTGCACTCACAACGCAGGAGAAGTGCTATTTGCGTTTTGCCTATGAACGGCGGCGCTTGCGAGAGTAAAGGGGATAGATATGTACACGGTAGGTACTCACGGTGATAATAAAATAAAAACATTAAAAAATATAACATTAAATATAAATATTATTAAAATTAAATTAATAAACCTTAAATTAATAAGAAATTTAAGATGATATAGTTAAGTACGGTTCACAATTGGTCTATATTTTTTTGTGTGAATGCTACGCGATTGCTTCAGCATTTGTGAACCGATTATACGATTTTTTTTGTTGGAAAGAGGGGTGCCACATTTTTGCATTGGTCCCATTTAATTTCCACATTTGAAGAAAGTATTCCACCTCTGAAGGTATACTAGAGAAGGATTTTTTCGGTTTCGCGCACTTTCTATTAACCAATTTCAATAAAACTTGGCAAATAGATGTAATTTCACGAACTTTTGAGCTCGGGTTCTTTTTTATAAAAAAAGTTAATTAACTATGCACTTCAACATCGTGATTCGAGCGCGGTTACTAAATGAATGAGAGTGAATGAAGGCATATCAGTGATTCTTGCCTTCCTACAACGGTGCCACTTCTTATGCGGCTACAGTGTACATACCGATATATATGATCAAAGAACACCACTACAGCATTTTTGTAAACGTCTAATTTGAAGGCGCTCTTAATTGTAATCACGCTTTATAGATCATGATTAGAACAACTTTAAATTCTCCTTTACAGAAGAACCAATGTTCGGGCGTAAATTGGAAGAAGTATGTCCACCATCCAGTCCTCGAGTACCAGACTTCGTGGTGGCGTGTATCAAGGAGATTGAAAGCAATGAAGATAATATGTGTACAGATGGGTTATATAGAGCTAGTGGGAACTTGAGTCAGGTTCAGAAGATACGGTTAGAGGTAAGGGTATTTACATATTATCCATTTGTTCACACCTTTCGTCTGTTTTCAGAAATTGGTCGCCACCATGTTGACAAATTTTCAATATTATTAGCGTTCTGTATTAAAATTAAATAGTAAAGATGACTGAACATCGTATCCATCTTTCAATATTTCATTGTGAAGCTACGTTTGGCATTGGCAATACAAATATTCTTACGTTCTCCGTGGTCAAGTGGCTTACACACCGGTTTTCGTGGTCTCGCCATCTCTGAGGTCCTGGATTCGAGCCCCAGGCGAGTCAATGTAGAAAAAACTAACTCTCGTCCTCCTGACATCCGTCCGAACAATACTGTCAAATAAGTAAAACTCGACCAAATTAAAATACGCACGATGGGAATGAAGCTTCATACATTCTTCATACTTCATTGTCTTTTCAATTCAAATATTTTTATTCAAGTAACCAGACTCATAATGTGTTAGTAAATACATTTAAAAAATGTGCCCTAGGGTTAGTATTTTAACATTTTAAAATTTGACTACATATTTTGGGGCATGAAGCTTAGAGCAGTTTCTGATGGAGGAGTAGTCAACCCTGGCCCCTATCGTATTGAGAACGGAGTTGGGGCTGACACGCAAACGGCACGCTAGGGACGCGCACGTCTTGTACACAATGACGTCAAACGCGTCAACGCGCGCGCCGTCGAACAACCCTCTAGGGCTAGCACAACAAGGCGCGACTAGTGCGAGAACGCCATATATATATATATATATATATCGCCATAACAATAATAATAATAAAAAGATTTATTGCCTCAATAACGATACAAAAATCTTATATAGAGGTTGAGGCAAAAAGCAGTGGTTCAGCTCCGTAAGCCTTACTCAACACTGGTTTTCAGCCATTCCCCCTTTCCCTGAGATCTTGAACGGAACATACTGTAATAGGAAGAGGTGTAGCAATTAAAGGAAAAACTTATATACAACAAACAATATCAAATAAAAAAAGGTATATATTAGTGGCACGTTTACGTGTTCGTGTATGTGTTTGTGTGTGTCTCTCTCTGGGTGTGTATGTGTGTGAGATGTGTCGTATGAGTGCGTGTGGGTGTATTTATCTGTTATGGGAAGTTGTGGGTGAGTGTGTATGAGTATGTCCATTTTAGTTTAGAAGAAGTTTTTTAAAATGAGATCTTTCCATCAACCGCGATTCAAATACGCCGCAGCAATTTGTTTCTTTTTTTTATCAAAGCCATTTTGTATTTAATTTTGAAATGTTGTTCACTTATATATTACGTTATAAATATTGAGTCCGTAGGGCTCGGTATACCCCTTTCGTGTAGTCTCGCCAAAAAACTGCACTGCGTCACTTTTACCTTTTTATTTGATCGAGTATTACACATTTGACAGTCATTGTTTTTGTGGTACCATCTTCGTTTCCGATTTCTATAACACAAGTGCTTTACTTACTTTCTGTGAAATCAGAGCAACTTATGTGATGTTGTCTAATATATATGCAATTAAAGATTAACCTGAAAATAGACATGACCTCCTGAACAGAAGTTTAAAACTCTCAAGTCTCTTTAAACCAATGTTGTTGACTTCCAGGTGGACCAGAACAACCTGTCGGTGATAGAACACAACGCAGACATTCATGTGCTGACGGGATCGCTGAAGCTCTTCTTCAGGGAGCTGAAGGAGCCACTGATACCCTGCAACATGTTCGACAGAGTCCTCGCTGCATGTTGTAAGTATTGCCATATGTACGTGTAGTGAAACCAAGACATTACTGAACGTGTCCAGATGTAACAGAAAGTGATTGTCTTTGTAGAATTTTGTGACTCGTCCACTCAAACTGCCTCCGTGGCCGAAAGGTTACCATGCTGGTCTGCCACACAGAGGTCCCGGGTTGGATTCCCGAGCCGGGAGACATAATTGTATGGCCTACATTTATTTCTCTCGTGACTTTGGGTGTAATTTGTGGTTGTCTGTGTGTGTCCATGGTATCCGCGACACAGGGTTTAGCT